ACGAAATCTACAGCACAGATGTTTTTCACTTAAAAAAAACTCCACCACATTGTGCTTCAACATCAATGTAGACACAGTAATGATTTTTGTATTTTATATCGGCTTTTTTGTTGTTCTCTGTACAGGTACGTACATGTAGTACATGTATAAATATATTATGGAACTACAATATATAAGCAATAGATTTATTATTTATTAATTACTATTTATTATTTATCAAAATAAATTAATTCCCTTGCATGTTGACATAATTTGTCTGGCATGCAAGGGCAAAAATATGCCAAAATAGAAAACCAACTACATTAAAATAATTCTGATCTATGCATTGTCACCTTTTCCGGGGATTCTTCTTTCCTTTAACTACATGTAGGTAAATTCTTTTGAAAAAAATGAATACATCTTTACAAATAAAATGTTCATTTTTTTACAACTGAAAACATCATGATTGTAACAAATTCGAAGTACAATTTTTATAAAGTAATTATTAAACTTTTTAAAAAAGTCAATTCTTGTTGTTATCTTAAGTAAACGTGGTGTATATTAAAATTTGACATTTTACCTGGGACATTTAACAATTAATCGATACATTTTATTTTTTTTTCACATAGAGACTTCTGCATAAATGAGTGTTTTTAATTATTATTTAATGTTTATATACCTCTCAGATCCCTATTCATTTTGGATGAAAAGTTAAGTGTTTTAAATATGCTGACAAATTAAGTTTAATGTGAAATTTGCTTCTTTCATCCTTGATATCAATATATAGGAAGGCCCAAGGCGGCCGAAGGATAAGATGTAATATTACAGTGTAAGATAAAGATTTAACATGCAAGGTGAAAGCGTCAGTTAATGAGCTGTCATATTATAATATGTACTGTATAACATAATACAACAGATTTCTATATATCAACCTCTGTTCCTAAACTTACCGTGAGAATGAACAAAGCTTTTTCTTCATGCTGTAAACTTATAATTTAATGTAAATACAAAGTTATATTAACTAATATATATAATTTTGAATTGATTTGTCAGAAGTGAAAATAAATCAGTTCGCCAAGCCCTTTTTTGGGATTTCATGTAGAGTAAATTGAAAATGAAACTGATATACTCCAGTGTAATGAATTTCATGAAATTATGTTTCACCACATGACTTCCTGAAATGTTTTAAACTTTCAATTAATTTTTTCCAGCTCAATATGAAAAAACAGGTAGGAACGACAATTTTCTTTCATTTTTCACTTTTTCCTTTAATTCTGTTAAGGAAGCTTTTTGAAATAATTCAATATGGTTTTTGAATTGCTCAGATTGATGAGTGTTCTCTTTTTCAAATAGGATGTTTTACAATTCTATACCGGAGAGCAAACTAGTGTAAGATAAGATAAGATAAGATTTAAGTTTACTCTAGTTTTCAAAAGTTACCATAGCTACCAAAGTAACAAACTTTTTACATTTAAAATCAACGTATTTTTTTTCACCTGAGCTGAAGGCTCAAGAGAGCTTATCTGTTCAAAATTTGTTCATTGTCGTTGTCGTTATTTATAGTCGTCGTTGTCGTAAACTTTCACAGTTCCATCTTCCTCTCAAGAATCACTGATGATGAAAGTTTTACATAGGAATATATAGGAAAATTCTTTAAAAAATCTTCTTCTCAAGAACAATAAATCTATAATAGGTATGGATTAATATGGAAGGAATCTTAGATGGTGTAAAGTTTCGTGCCCTGCTTACAAAAAAAGTATTTACATTTTTGAAAGTGTCAATCAAACACGTCACGAAATTCGAAGTTTCAATAGAATCTAAATATATAATATCACATTTTCAGCTCACCTGAGATGAAAGCTCAAGTGATCTTTTTGAACACATTTTGTCTATAGTCCGACTGTCCATCCGTCCGCCTCTCCGACTGTCTGTTTGTCTGTCTGTCAACTTTTTACATTTTAGATCAATGATTTACATTGAAATATATAGAATTTTTTTTGTAAATATTCTTTTCATGAATTGCGAAGCCATGATTAGTCATATTCAAATGGAAGTATACTCAGGTAGTGAAGATTCTAATTTGTTCAAATCATGAACAAACCCTGGGGGTAGGGCAAGGCCATTTTGGCTGATCAAAGTTATATATAGAAATTTATAAGAAAATTCTTTTAAAATCTTCTTCTCAAGAACAGCAAAGACATGATTGATTATATTTAATGTAGATTCAAGTTTGTTGAAATCATGACCCCTTGCACTGGGTAGGGCGGGGCTACAATGGCCGATCAAAGTTTAACATAGAAATATATAGGAAAGTTTAATAATCTTCTCAAGATCCACAAAGCTATGATTAGTTATATTTATGCGGAAGCATCCTCAGGTAGTGAAGTTTTAAGTTTTATCAAATCATAACCCCTGGGGGTCAGGTGGGGACACAGTGGATTAACACAGTTTTACTTAGGAAAACAGAAGTTTTTTTTTCAAAGACAACAAAGCCATGATTTGTCATATTTTAGTTCGGAAGAGGAGGGAGGGGCACAATGTAAGTTCAAATGTGAAGGGCAATAAAGAAACAGGTAGTAAAAGAAATATGCAATCGTCCTTACTTAGTGAAATTTAAATTTGTTCAAATCATACCCTCTCCCCAGGGACCACTTTTTGATTTTAACTTTTTAATAGTAAATTGATTTCTGCTGTTTTGCTCACTTGCTTCAAGTTTGTTCATATGAAGGGCCACACCCTCTTCCAAGCGGAGATAATTATGAATTAGTCAAAAATTAATGGCATTATATAAAAAAATCTTTTTCTCAAGAACCACTGGGCCAGGAAAAATGAAACTCACGTGAAATCAGCCTCAGGTAGTGTAGATTCAAGTTTGTTCAAATCATGACCCCTAAGGGTTGGGCAGGGCCACAAAGGCCGACCAAATTTTTTCATAGAAATATATAGGAAAATTCTTTAAAAATCTTCTTCTTAAGAATAACAGTCATGATTGGTCATATTGAATTATATGGAAGCATCCCCAGGTAGTGTAGATTCAAGTTTGTTCAAATCATGATCCCCGGGGGTAGGGCGGGGCCACAATGGCTGACCCAAGTTTTACATAGAATTATATAGGAAAATTCTTTAAAAATCTTCTTCTCAAGAATAACTAAGCCATGATCAGTCATATTTATATTAAAGCATCCTCGGGTAGTGTAGGTTGGGCGGGGCCACAATGGCCGACCAAAGTTTTACATAGAAATATATAAGAAATTCTTTTAAATCTTCTCAAGAATAACAAAGCCGTTAGTGTAGATTCAAATTCAAAAGCCATGATTGGTCATATTATATGGAAGCATCATCAGGAAGTGTCGATTTCAAGTCTGTGCAAGTCATACTCTCTCCCATTGAAGGAATGGTTGGGACTACTTTTGGGTTAAAACTTTTCAATAATAAACTAATTTCTGCTTTTATGCTAGCCACAGTGCTCAATTGAGCGATGTGGCCCATGTGCCTCTTGTTATTCCTAGCCACAGTGCTCAGGTGAGCGATGTGGTCCATGAACCTCTTGTTATTATCATATTTTTGTGTAAAATGCCATAGCAACTTATTTGATTGATTGATAGCATGTTGTTTAACGTCACTCTCGAGAATATTTCACTCATATGGAGACGCCACCATGTACCGTTGGAGGGCTACGAATTTTGTCAAAATTTAGCAGATCTTCACTAGTAAAAGATGGCGTCTCCAATTGAGTGAAACATTCTCAAGAAGGACGTTAAAAAAGACACAAAACAAATAAACATACTCCTTGTATATCACTAAAGTCAAATACACGGTGTCTGAGTAAAAAGATTGCTTACATGAAATACATATGGATATATATAATCTATATTAACTCGATAAAACACTAAAATTATATACCTGTACCTGTATTTCTGAATTTTTTTCTTCAGACTAATACATGCATAGGTACTTGTACAGGCGATTGATTGATTGATTGATTGAATGATTGATTGTATATTGTTTAACGTCCCTCTCGATAATTTTTCACTCATATGGAGACGCCATCACTTGCCGGTGGAGAGCTGCAAATTTTGTCCAATGGTCGGCACTCAGGGCCATTGAGCAGGGAGGGATCTTTTTCATGCCCCCTACTGCGACCTGGGACCTTGGTTTATACGGTCTCATCCGAAGGACGGGTCTCCACCTCCCACAGCTGGATTCGAACCCGCGACGTAAAAATTGACTCCTTACGACTCTAGAGCAGACGTTCTAACCACTGCGCCACGCACGCGATTACAGGCAATTGATAGCATACAGTTGAATATGGGTATTATAATTGAGAACTTTTTCAGAATGCATATATAGTCAGTATCTGATATGGTTTAATGATTGATTCATGCATCACTGGTAGCTGATACATACCAATAAATAATATATTTGATTTTGCGTCCAAGACTTGTACAGTTTTGCACATTTACATTAAATTAGACTCACTGGTATTTCTTTATTTACAAACTTGAATACAAAATTACAATTAAAGTAAATATTTACGAAAAAAATTACAAATATTTAGTCACTTATATAGCCAACTGGAGTTCCGATGCTGATCAACAAATATATGTATCTCATTTGTTTGATACCATTTATTGCATTTGATAAGCTTTTTTGGACATTTAACTAATTAAAAAAAACCTTATCATCCTTGAACGTACGAAAATCAAAATATTTATTTAAATGTCCAAAAAAGCTTATCAAATGCAATAAATGGTATCAAACAAATGAGATCCATATATTTGTTAATCAGCATCGGAACTCCAGTTGGCTATAGCCAGGAAAGATTGTAAATCCAATGCCATAACACTGTACTAGTTTTACGCAATAAGATATATATTTTAAATAGTTTACTTACTATCTTTTAAAGAATGTGAATGTTTCATTTTTTATATGTCAATAGGATATCTGGGTTGTTTCAAGTATGAACCTGCCATTACGTTGAGGAATGGAAAATATAGCGCGGCTCACGCCAGTGTACAAAAATGCAAGGCATTCTGTGGAATGCAGAATACGCATTTCTACGGATTGGCGGTAATTCAGCATTTACTGACCATCCAGTATTTAAAATGTATATATTGTTATATTATAAACAGTTTTTCTTTATGTATTTTAAACAAATCTTTGAGTCTTCACCACTGCTTTAACAAAAGGAACCGGCGAGTTATATTTTTTTTATATGTAATGAAAAGAATTTTATCTCCAATTTAAGCATGGCAATCAATGTTTATGTGGCGATCGAGGAAGAACAATTCGAAAAAAAGAGAAAGAGTGTAATCATCGGTGCTCCGGAAATCGAAATGAGTTTTGTGGTGGACATTGGAGAATAAGCCTTTATGTAAATCAAAACTACGATACAGGTATATGGGCGCATCAAATCATTACCAATTTCCAGTTGCCTTGTTGCATCATAAGTAAAGCTGGCGATAAATAGAGAAAACAATTGATAAAGCATATATTTAAAGAATTTGAATTATAATAATATAATTGTACATGTAGTCTATGTCTAAATATTAATATGTCGTCTTAAATGTTATATTGGTCTTGAATTTAGTGAATTATTCGATCCTCCAAGTAACTTATTTTTCGTTCAAGATTGCCTTAAACTGTGATATAAATTCATTTTCAGTTAGATAGCTACAGAAATTATAAAGTGATCTAAAATCTTAAAACGAAAAAATAATTCTAAACATGTTAGTGCTCATTATCTTACTTTATATAACATGTACCTCCCACCATCTTGGCCCATCTTAAAAACATTAAAAAAAAACAAATACTATATAAGCTGAGTTTCTCCACTTAATCTATATTGAAAACGTTTTGAATGGCATTTTTGCATAAACTCACACAAAGAATTATACACAAAAAAGCTTGCGATTAAGCGGCGTCACAATGGTTATTCAGAGACGATCAAAGTATTACATGTATAATGATATGAGCAGTGAGAAATTCAAATACGGAGTATTTTTGTGTTTTTTAAACATGTAAAATTTTAAAATGATGATGCAGGATAAAGTTTGAAACAATATTGTGTATATAATACAGACTTGCACGTAAGCATTTATGTGCTTCTGGTTTTCTCTTTTTCATTATGTTCATGTATATCTTTGAAATGATTCGATATGTTTTAAAAAGTCTCAGAAGATTTTTCATTCCTTATCTTAGCTTGTTATAATTTTTTTGAAATCTTTTTATTCTGTTAATACATTCACATTTCTTGGGTATCTATTCCACTCTGAACACCTTTTCAAAAACAATCCTTAAAATCTAATTAAAGAATTTCTATGTCTTATATTTATCAATCTTATCTCACAGGATATGTAGGATGCTTCAAAGAACAGTTAAGTAAGACATTGAACGGGAAACATAATACATCAGATTCTATGACTGTGGAAAATTGTAAGGAATTCTGTCAACATCAGGATACTCAGTTCTACGGTTTGAAGGTTATTATTTGTATGTTCATGATAAATTTCTTTATGAAAATATGTTTCACTCAAATTGTTTTTAAATTTTTTGAAAGCAATGTAGATCAGCTTTACTTTATTTTTAATTTAAGTTGAAAAATATAAACAACATAAAACATTTCAAGGGCTTCTCGTTTCATGTAAACGTTTCTTTTATGGTCATCCTTCTTCTGAGGGATTTCGTACTGTGTTTCTTCTAGTTGTGTCTTGTAAGTTGTTTTTTTTTATTTTATCTTATTTTTATTTTATTTTTTGTAATTTTTTTCTCAGGAGTTTTGTCAGCTTTTAAATGATGGATATTTAAACTTGCTAAGAGTCTTTGCATGTTGAGTAAAACATCATTTTGAATCATACATATACAGATAGTTTACTTTGTTTGAATATAATTCATAATCTTCACATGTATTTTCCAAAAATCACTTCATCGAAAAAGTGAGAGAAACCCTATTATTAAATAATATTTGACAAAGTGCTTCATTTGTAGTCTTCCAGTAAATGTTTCTGTGGGAATTCTCTTTCACAAAGTGTCAAAACGCCAGACAAAGAATGCAGTTACAAATGCAGCGGAAATGAGGAGCAGATTTGTGGTGGAGATCGAAGAATAAGTGTTTATAAGAATGGCAACTACCAAAAAGGTAAAAAAAAAACATTAAGGAAAAAAGTAATCACGGTGACTATAGTTTAGATTTCATTGCATCATGAATGCACATTGAGGCCAATTTTGATTTTTGGTGCTTAATGTCTAGGTTTCAAGCAACTATTTAAGCTAGAGAAGAAGAGAGGGGAAAATCAGATCACATTGAGTTCTTTTTATAAACATGATGAATATAATGATGGATACAGTAAATCTTGTATATAACAAAGCCCTGGGGACGTGTGAAATTAATTTTCTGTATTTGTAACTGTTATATCCATATAATGAATTCGTATAAATATATCTAGCGAACGTAAACATTTTCTTTGATGAAAATGTATTACAAAACGCAACACTATTGTCAATTATTATGCTGACTGTTGCAAAAAAACGACAATATCATTTCCAATAATTTCATCACCTCTTACATGTTAGTACATGCTTATTATGACGTCACGTTGTGCTATATGTACGTCATAATCTTTTTTTTTTTATTTTGAGTGTTTCATGCAATAAGGCATAATGTATAGATAGTTTCAAAGAATTTAATTTAAGTGAAGGTAATAATGTTGCAAGAACCTTTTTAAGAAAAATAATTTTGTTGATTTTTTTTAGTATAAAATATTTGAAACTAAGTACATATATATTTGAATACGCAACAATGTAGATAACGACTTCTGTGGCATAATCGGTAGCGCGTCAGACTGGCAATCTCTGGGTCGTGAGTTCGATCCAAGACGTGGGAGCAGTCGGGTTTTCTTCAGAAAATGAAGCCGTGCGCTATTTCAGCATGGTATGCTTACACTATATGAATCCTTAGAACACTATGCGATAATAGAAGGGTATGGGTTACACATATGTATATAGAGACAAACTCACAAGAAGCATAATAATATCGAATATAATAGAAAAACATTTTTTTTTAACTCTTTCAGAAACTTAAGACTTTGTTATTAATTGAATTTTATACACAAAAACGTACTTAAAATAAAGTCAATCCTCTGCTTTTATTTTGTATTGCTTTATATACTTTTGAACTTGAATACTGTTTGTTATTTCCATTTACTAGTAGTTCATTCCGCATATCGAATTTTGAAATATTTAAAAATTGGATACAAAAGGTATCCATTTTTAGGTCACCTTAGTAAACTCAGGTGACCTATTGCTATCCGTTTTCGTCTGTCGTCGTGCGTTGTGTACCAAATTTTACATAATGCATCTATGGGTAAAGGGGAACAAAAATTGTGAATTTCATGGTCCCTGCCTCCCTGGGACCTAAGGGGTGGGGGCCAAAACCACTAAAATAAGTGAAATCTTTAAAAATCTTCTTTACTCCTGGACATCAAGCAGTCAAACTGTTAGCATGAATGTAATGACCATTGAGTCCTTCACCAAAATTTTGAAATTCATGGCCCCAGAGTCAGGGGTTCTGGTGTTAGGGTTGGGCTCTATTGATTATATAGTGAAAATGCATTATTTTTTTTAGAAATCTTCTTTTCTGCTCCTGGGTAATAAATAAACTAACTAAGTATATAGTTATGATGAGGAAGAATGCCTTTTCCAAAATTGTGAATTTTATGGCCCCAGGGTCAGGGGTTCTAGTGCTAGGGCGGGGCTCTATAAATTATATAGTGAAAATACATTATTTCTTTAAAAATCTTCTTCTCTGCTCCTGTGTATTAATTAGACTAACCAAGTACATATTTATGATGAGGAAGAATGCCTTTTCCAAAATTGTGAATTTTATGGCCCCAGGGTCAGGGATTCTGGTGTTAGGGCGGGACTCTATTGATTATAAAAAGTAAAGGCAGAAATTGTTTGAAAATCCTCTTCTCTGCTGCTGAGTATTCAACGAATTGACTAAGTATGTAGTTGTGATAAGCAAGAATGCTTCTTCCAAAATCGTGAATTTTATGGCCCCAAGGTCATGGGTTCTGGTGTAAGGGTTAGTCTCTATTGATTATACAGTGAAAATACATTATTTCTTTAAAAATCTTCTTCTCTGTTCCTGGGTATTGAATACACTAACTAAGCACATAGTTATGATAAGGAAGAATGCCTTTGTGAATTTTATGGCCTCAGGGTCAGGGGTTCTGTTGTTAGGGCGGGGCTCTCCTGGTTATATAGAGAAAATGCAGAAATTGATTGAAAATTTTCTTCTCTGCTCCTGGGTATTAAGCAGATGAACTACCTATATAGCTATGATGAGCAAGGGCCATTCTTCATGAATTGTGAATTTCAACGCCCCTGGGTCAAGGGTGCCATAGGGTGGGGGGCTCTACTTATATATTGAAAATGAATTAATTGATTGAATTCTTCTCCTTTGTAGTAATCAAACATTTTTGATAAGCAAGGGTGCCTTTTCCAAAATTGTGAAATGTGTGGACCAAGGGTCAGGGGTTCATGTGTGGTAGTGGCACTACTGATTATTGCTGAATATTACTGATTAGTCGAAATGCTTTTTTTTCCCCTACTCTGTCTATTAAGTAACCAAACTAAAGATGCAAAGTGTATTGTTATGATTAGCAATGGTGCCTCTTTCAAAACTGTGAAAGCCATGACGTCTAGTTTAAAACATGAACCAAAGTCAATCGTGGTAAAGTTGTTGCATGATGCTCAGGTGACCTATAAGGCCCATGGGCCTCTTCTATATCTTTAAACTCTGGGAAACAAAAGCAGTTGTTATATCCGAAAATTTCATATCATGTATGTTATAACTGTCACATTTAACAAAGAATTGTTTTAAAAAGTAATTAGTTGAGGTGCATGTTTCCTCTGCATCTATTCTATATTGTTTTATGGACTTTTGAGCTTCAGAATACTGTTTGTGATCTCCATAAGGTTCATTCAACATATCGAAATTTTCAAATATTTAAAAATTCGATAAGTATTGATTTCATTTTCTTAACCTCTACGAAAAGAAAAATCAGTTCCCTACATTCGCAAATCTTTTATATTACAGTTCGTTGTAACCGTAAAAGTTTACAAAGAATTGTAAGGAATTCAGAAGCCTGAAAAACCTCACTGTTCCCTTATTTGCGCGTACTTAAGAAGTTTTAATTTATTTGAAACATATTTGACTCTATTTTCATGATAGGTTATCTGGGCTGTTTCAAGTATGAACCGGGAATAACCTTAAGGAATGGAAAATATAGCGGTAGTCATCCTAGTGTGGAAAAGTGCAAGACGTTTTGCGGAAAACAAAATGCTCATTTCTACGGATTAGCGGTAATTTGTCAATCATTAAAAAAACAGTTTTTGTATCTTCAGTTTTCTCAGTTGAATGTTTTTTTTCGGGATTTCTGTCCAAAGTTTAAATTTTTTTAAATCGATAAGACTAATCTTAAATTCATTATATTTAGAAAATGTAGAGTAATTTATTGATGGAATCAATTCTAGTTGAGCTATGCTTGTAGCATGGAAATCAGTGTTTATGTGGTGATCGAGGAAGAACGGTCCGACAGGAAGAAATAGAATGTAGTCATCGATGCTCTGGAAATGGAAATGAGTTTTGCGGAGGACATTGGAGGATTAGCCTGTATATAAATCGAAACTACGATAAAGGTAAAGTGCCGGATCAATTTATAACAAAACACGAATTGCAACGTTGCGTCATTAAGAAACGCTAGTATTCACTTGAAAAGAAAAACCCTAATGTAAGATATGAACACATATACTTTACTCTTTTCATTAATTTATCACCAGGACAAATTAATAAAAGGAATTACTCTAAGAATACAGTACATGTTTCATTTAAAATTATTCTTGCTTTTAATTTGTTTTCTGTAATTGTAATCTAGCGAGTATATTGACTACCCTATTTCGCTGATGTTATTCTATTTCGAATTGCTGGAAAATTCGTTGATTGCTGAAAACGCAGGCTTGTAATGGCAGCACATGGATCAGAATAAGCCAAATTAACACTTTTTTATAATATGTAATACTACTAAATCGGAAAAGTTATAGATAAAACTTTCGCTATCAAAATGCATTATATAGACTTCACTGGGACTTATACTACAGGAAGCACTACACCAAGACGTCTTCACGTGACGTCTTTAATTAGAAAATATCACCATGCCTTAATGAAAAAGTGAAAAGTTCAACACTACTCCGGGAATAATTAATTTCAATTGTAATAATAGTTATATAAAAACATCTTTGTATCATGAAAAGTGCTGCTAGAATCATACTTTACGATCAATGAAATAATTATTCAACGCTTTCGAACAAAACCTTTCCAAAATATTTACAATTTGTTCATAAGATCGAAAAAATGCACCAATTCCCGTTAACCATACGATTCTAGCAGCAATATACAAAAAACAATACAATAATAAATTTAGATAGAAACAAAAATTAGGTTTCAAAGTATGCGGTGCAGTGTTCAACTTTTGCATCATTTTTGTTAAGAACGACAGAGGAAAGGATGATCGGCAAGTAAACAATCAGCCTTTATTGTAGAATTATATTAGCATACCTTATTCTTAAGCATTACATCCACATGAATCATACATAATATTCATTCTAATGCTTTTTAAATCCAATTTTTTGTATTTGTTTACATAAAATCTCTTTTCATTTTTTACTCAGCTAAAACTGATCAACAGTTATCATGACGTCACGGGTCTGGTATTTTACCAGTTAGATAAATACATAGAACCAGAAACGGCATGATTCCATTCATATTGTGCCTCTGCATATTTTGATTCATTTTTACGACCTCAAATTAATCTTAGATATCGATTTTAAGAAATAGTTATCTCCAAAGTTCACCTCATATACCTAACTATGACGACATATCATACAGACAAGTAGAATACTTGATTGACCTTCACATACCTGCGAATGAACACTGGCAATATAAACCAAAAAGATATTTTGATTGTATAATGGAAAACATCTGGTAATATCCGACAGCCAAATTTAATAACAATGTTTTTTCATCAATATTTTAATGTATTTTACATGCATGTATTCTTTCATCTACCCTATATCTTTATTGTCTTCTTAAATTTTTAGTCTGTTGTTTTGTTGTTTTTTTTTTCAAAAATTGTCCATATTTTTCACCTTTTGAAGCAATTTTCCTCTAGATTTTTTAAACATTCTCTTAATTGTAACTTAAATATTTATAACAGGTCTCAACAAATATAGATTGCCTGCCTGTTATTATTTTATATTATTACATGCATTGATCACCGGAAATTGAATATCTTTGAAACATGTTATTGATATGGCCAGTGCTCATATTTATTTTGTGATATTGATTTGAATCTATAAAATAGAATAAATTAACAGGCCTTAAAATAAAACTCTTGACCCTTTCCACGGCATTCATTATCAAATCTACGATTTAAGACTTCCTATCTTTTATATTTATTAATCTAATTTTCACAGGATATGTAGGATGCTTCCAAGAACAGTTAAGTAAGACATTGAACGGGAAACATAATACATCAGATTCTATGACTGTGGAAAATTGTAAGGAATTCTGTCAACATAAGGATACTCAGTTCTACGGTTTGAAGGTTATTATTCGTATGTTCATGATGCATTACTTTATGAAAAGAAAAAACTTTCACTGAATATTTTTTTTGCATTGTTTAAAAAAAGTGAAGATCAACTTTACTGTATCCTCAACTTTAGTTGCCAAAATATCACCAGCATAAAACATTTTGAGGGCTTTTCATTCCGAATATATTTCTTTTATGGCCTTCGTTCTTCTGAGAGATTCTCTATAGAACTTATTCCTGTTGTTTTTTGTAATTTTGTTCTCTGTTGGCTTTGCTTTTTGAATGAAGCATCATTCTGAATCATACATATAGTTTACTATGTTTAAATATAATTCATAATCTTGACTATATGTAATAGACTAGAATGAAAGCTTTTCAAAAATCACGTAAATCGAAAGCGGAGTCTAACCTCTAAAATTTAATGATATTTGACAAATGGCTTCTTTTGTAGTCTTCCGGTAAATGCTTCTGTGTGAATTCTCTTTCACAAAGTGTCAAAACAGCAGACAAAGAATGCAGTTCCAAATGCAGCGGAAATGGGGAGCAAATTTGTGGTGGTGATCGAAGAATAAGTGTTTATAAGAATGCCAACTACCAAAAAGGTAAAAGAACATGCTGGAGGAAAGAAATTACACTGACTAGAGATTATATTGTAATGAATTGTGAATGCACATTGAGGCCAATTTTGATTTTTGGTGCTTAATGTCTGGGTTTCAAGCAACCATTTAAGCTAGAGAAGAAGGAAATGGAGAATCAGATCAAATTGAGTTCTTTTTATAAACTTAAAAAATATAATGATGGACACAGTAAATATTGGTTATAGCAAAGCCTTGGGGACGTGTGAAATTAATTTGTTGTATCTGTAATTGTTACATCCATATAATGAATTCGTGTAAATATATCTAGCGAATTCGTAACATACACGTTTTTGTTTAAGAATTGCTACCAAATATAATAGGAAAACAATTTTTACAAAACATCTTTCAGAAAATGAAGGCTTTGTTATGAATTAAATTTTATGCACGAAAACGTACTTAAAATAAAGCCAATGTTCTGCTCTATTCTGTGTTGCTTTATGGATTTTTGAACTTGAATACTGTTTGTTATGCCCCGCCATGAATATGGTCGGGGCATATAGTGTTTGTCATGTCCGTCTTCCGTCCTTCTGTCTTTCCGTCACACTTTGCATTTAGCTCAGTTCGAAGCTCAGTTTCAAAAAGCAATCCAAGATATTTTCATCAAACTTCATAGGCTGAGAGATGTTGATAAGATCTATGCAACTTCATCATCATTTTTTGACTTTGGCCTTTTCTTTGATCTTAACCTCAATTTTTTAAAATGAGTGTTTAGGTCAATTTCTAAATACCATGCAAAATAGTGTTATTAAACTTCATAAGCTGATATATACTGATTATTGCCTTTCAACCGTATCAACATTTTTTTCCGTCGTCATTGTCGTCATTTTTCTTAAATGAGTGTTTAGATCAGTTTTAAAGATACAATCCAATTGATTTATGCCCCCTTCGAAGAAGGGAGGGTATATTGCTTTGTTGCTGTCTGTCAGTCTATCTGTCGGTCGGTCTGACGGTCTGTCGGTCCACATAGTTTCCATTCATTTTCTTAGCAGATGTTGCACATACTGAAAGAAAATTAAGTGTACAATTTTTTTAGATGAATATCTAGGTCAAGTTCTTTTTTGGGTACGATCAGGGCATTTTTGACAGAGTAATACCCCTTGCACTTAGAAAAATTCCAATTATTTGCATTTTCTGTTCATTTTGTTCGCACGGGTTGCACATAATGAAATGAAATTTAGTATACAGATTTATCTGATGAATATTTAGGTCATGTTTTGTTTTGGGTACGATCGCGCCACTTTTGACAGAGTTATGCCCTCTAGTACTTAAAAAATTCTAATTTTGGGGGAAGGCGCATAACTGTTTTACAAACATCTCTTTTAATTCATATACTAGTACGGTAGTTCATTCAGTATATGCAATTTTTTAATTTAAAAAAAAAATGAATACAAAATATATCAATTTAATATTTTTAAATTCTACGGGAAACATAAGCTGTTCGCTATTTCTGAAAATCTCATATCAGAGTTCATTATAACTGTAAAATTTTACAACGAATTGTTAAGAATAAAGTGAGTTTTTGAGGTCCGTGTTTGCTCTTCTCCAGTTCTTTATTGCACTATGGACTTTTGAGCTCCAGAATACTGTTCGTTATTTCCATATCGTTCATTCAACATATCAAAGTTTTCAAATCTTGAAAAACTCGATACAGTAGGTATCAATTTCATTTTCTTAAACTCTATGGAATACAAAATCAGATGGCTGTATCTTCAAATCTCTAATATTAGAGTTCGTGATAACCGTAGCAAATTTACAAAGAATTGTTAAGAATTTTAGCGGGAAGCCCTTAAACCTTTAATGTTCACTTATTTGTACTAAAGGAGTTTCACTTTATTTGAATCATATTACTCTATTTTCATGATAGGTTATCTGGGCTGTTTCCTGTATCAGCCTGGAATAACTTTAAGGAATGGAAAATATAGCAGGAGTTATCCTAGTGTGGAAAAGTGCAAGACGTTTTGCGGAAAACAAAATGCTCATTTCTACGGATTAGCGGTAATTTCTTACTCATCAAACAAAAAAATCAAAATATTTTTTTTTTGATCTTCATATGTTTAAATTGAATTTTTTCCCCGTTATTCTGTCTAAAGTTTTATTTTTGAAATCGATAAGACGTATCTCAAATTCATTATATTTAAGAAATGTAGAGTAATTTATTGATTGAAACATTTCTAGTTGAGATCTGTTTGTAGCATGGAAATCAGTGTTTATGTGGTGATCGAGGAAGAACGGTTCGAAAGGGAGAGATAGAATGTAGTCATCTGTGCTCTGGAAATGGAAATGAGTTTTGCGGAGGACATTGGAGGATAAGTCTGTATATAAATCGAAACTACGACAAAGGTAAAGTGCCGGATCAATTTTCTAAAAAGCTCACTGGAAACTGAATATCTTTGAAACATGTTATTGATAAGAACAGTGCTCATAATTATTTTATGATATTAATTTGAACCTTTGAAATAGAATAAATTAGCAGGCCTTACAATTAATATAAGGCTTGACCCTTTTTCTGGCATTCATGATCAAATCTACGATTTAAGAATTCCTATCTTTTATATTTATTATTCTAATTTTCACAGGGTATGTAGGATGCTTCCAAGATCAGTCAAGTAAGACATTGAACGGGAAACATAATACATCAGATTCTATGACTGTGGAAAATTGTAAGGAATTCTGTCAACATCAGGATACTCAGTTCTACGGTTTGAAGGTTATTATTCGTATGTTCATGATGCATTGCTTTATGAAAAAAATCTTTCGCTGAATATTGTTTTTGCATTGTTTAAAAAAGTGAAGATCAACTTTACTGTATCCTCAACTTTCGTTGCCAAAATATCACCAGCATAAAACATTTTGAGAGCTTTTCATTCCAAATATATTTCGTTTATGACCTTCGTTCGTCTGAAAGATCCTGAATAGAGCTTACCTGTTGGGATTTTTTTTTTTGGTAATTTTGTTCTCTGTTGGCTTTGCTTGTGCTCGTTAATGAAGCATCATTCTGAATATTACATATAGTTTACTGTGTTTAAATATAATTCATAATCTTGACTATATGTAATAGACTAGAATGAAAGCTTTTCAAAAATCACGTAAATCGAAAGCGGAGTCTAACCTCTAAAATTTAATGATAATTGACAAATGGCTTCTTTTGTAGTCTTCCAGTAAATGCTTCTGTGTGAATTCTCTTTCACAAAGTGTCAAAACAGCAGACAAAGAATGCAGTTCCAAATGCAGCGGAAATGGGGTGCAAATTTGTGGTGGTGATCGAAGAATAAGTGTTTATAAGAATGTCAACTACCAAAAAGGTAAAAGAACATGCTGGAAGAAAGAAATTACACTGACTAGAGATTATATTGTAATGAATTGTGAATGCACATTGAGGCCAATTTTGATTTTTGGTGCTTAATGTCTGGGTCTCAAGCAACCATTTCAGCAAGAGAAGAAGGGAAAGGAAAAGCAGATCACATTGAGTTCTTTTTATAAACATGATGAATATAATGATGGATACAGTAAATCTTGGTTATAACAAAGCCCTGGGGACGTGTGAAATTAATTTGCTGTATCTGTAATTGTTACACCCATATAATGAATTCGTGTAAATATATCTTAGACTATGGAATTCGTAACATACACGTTTTTGTTCAAGAATTACTACCAAATATAATAGGAGAACAATTTTTACAAAACATCTTTCAGAAAATGAAGGCTTTGTTATGAATTAAATTTTATACACAAAAACGTACTTAAAATAAAGTCAATGCTCTGCTTTATTCTGTATTGCTTTATGGACTTTTGAACTTGAATACTGTCTGTTATGCCACGCCATGAATATGGTCGGGGCATATAGGGTTTGTCATATCCGTCTTCCGTCCTTCCGTCTTTTCGTCCTTCCGTCACACTTTGCTTTAGCTCAGTTCGAAGCTAGTTTCAAAAACTATCCAAGATATTTTCATCAAACTTCATAGGCTGATAGATATTGATAAGAGCTATGCAACTGCATCAACATTTTTTGACCTTGACCTTTACTTTGATCTTGACCTCACTTTTTTAAAATGGTCAGTTTTAAAGTACCATTCAAGATAGTGTTATTAAACTTCATAAGCTAATACATATTGTTGAGAGCTTTTCAACTGCATCATTTTTTATACCCTGGCTTTTCTTTCGCCCTTGTTCTCATTTTTCTTAAATGAGTGTTTAGCTCAGTTTTAAAGATATCATCCAATATATTTATGCCCCCCTTCGAAGAAGGGAGGGCATATTGCTTTGCTGCTGTCTGTTTGTCGAGCTGATGGTATGTCGGTCTGTCGGTCCACATAGTTTTCATTCATTTTCTTCGCAGATGTTGCACATACTGAAATAAAATTTAGTACAGATTTTTTTTTTAGATGAATATCTAGGTCAAGTTCTTTTTTGGGTACGATCGCGTCGTTTTTGCCAGAGTTCTGCCCCTCTGACTTAGAAAATTTCCAATTATTTGCAGTTTCCATTCATTTTCTTTGCAGAGGTTGCACATACTGAAATAAGATATAGTATATAGATCTATCTGATGAATATCTACGTCAAGTTCTTTTTTGGGTACGATCGCGCCATTATTGACAGAGTTATGTCCTCTTGGACTTAAAAAAGTTTAATTTGGGGGGAAGGGGCATAAGTGTTTTACAAACATCTCTTGTTACTCCATATACTAGTACAGTAGTTCATTCAATATATACATTTTTTTAATTTAAAAAAAATGAATACAAATGTATCAATTTAATATTTTTAAATTCTACGGGAAACATAAGCTGTTCGCTATTTCTGAAAATCTCATATCAGAGTTCATTATAACTGTAAAATTTTACAACGAATTGTTAAGAATAAAGTGAGTTTTTGAGGTCCGTGTTTGCTCTTCTCCAGTTCTTTATTGCAATATGGACTTTTGAGCTCCAGAATACTGTTCGTTATTTCCATATCGTTCATTCAACATATCAAAGTTTTCAAATCTTGAAAAACTCGATACAGTAGGTATCAACTTCATTTTCTTAAACTCTGTGGAATACAAAATCAGATGGCTGTATCCTCAAATCTCTAATATTAGAGTTTGTGATAACCGTAACAAATTTACAAAGAATTGTTAAGAATTTTAGCGGGAAGCCCGAAAACCTTTAATGTTCACTTATTTGTACTAAAGGATACAAGATGAAACACACCCTTTAAGCTTGGTTTAATGGTGGGTTATAGGTCCTTAATGGTGATTTAATGGTTGTCTTTAAGTCACCATTAAGTTACCATTAAGCACCTTTAAGTAACATTTACACCACCATTAGTTACTATTAAGCCATCTCAAAGTCCGTAATGAGTGCTTAAATGTAGCTTAATGGTAGCTTAATGGTGGCTTACAGGTCCTTAATGGTAGCTTTTAGACCACCATTAAGTCACCATTAAGCTACCATTAAGCTAGACTTACAGGTGCTTAATGTCCAAACTCCATTAAGCTACCATTAAGCCACCATGAATCCACCATTAAGCCACCATTACGCAGTCGATATTACTGCTTTTATGGATGAAAAATTATTATTATAGTGATTTGTCATCACAAATTATTAATGTCGAGTTCACACATATCTTCATTTTATAGAAATAAGGGAAAAAAACGAAATTTAAAATATATATATAAAAAAAACACCACACACGAGGCGCGAATTTATGAGCCTTCGTGTAAGTGGCAGTCACCTTAACCATTAGGCTAACGCCGCTCTTAACAGTCTGAGGAAAATATCAAACATTTATTTTGCACAAAGTTGGTTTTGGACTTTAAAAAGTATTTATTTTGTTGACCGTTTCCAAAGTCTTCAATTGATTTATTAATCAAACTATAAACAGTTTTATTTATGGGTCTTTTTAAAAGGCTTATATCACATTAATATTTCTAAACCGTTGGGTTCGGCTTTTAAATTGTAATGAATTCTTCGCTCTGTTATTCGAAGATTTATACATGTCATTAAATCATAATTGAAATTAAATTAATTATAGATAAAACACAAAAAAATCTATCATCGGGAAAGACAGATGAATTTTTTTTTTTTAAATAATAAAATATTCTGCGGATATAACGGATTTTGTGTCTAAAATTTAGACCTAGTGACAATCCTCCTTTACGAGTTACCTGGTTATGTTTACAAAAACTTTTTTTGGAATATCATATTCATTTAAAATTCTTTTTGTATCATAATGGGTATCAAAATAATTGTCCTTTTACAAAGAATCATAATTTTCAATTTATTATATGTTTGCGTTAAATTTAAATTTTGTAAAAATAATTGATCATCAAAATCTGTTAGTGTACGTTGTGTATGTATAGTTTCCTGTTAGTTGACCGGGGACGGTGGACACCTAATTAAGGTCTATTGTCTAACCAGTCGGTATACTGTACACTGTTAATCTTACCCCGTTTCCCAATGTGTATAGATGTCATGTTTAATCTGATCGGCAAATCTTCTAAAAATTGATTCTGAAATAACAATCATTGAAGACCGACTCGATTTTGACAGATACTTACCGCTGCATTATATTCGAAAAAAAATAGTGAATTAATTCATTCAAATCATTCATGATGTAAAAGTCAAACTTTGAAAACTAAAAATTTTTATACCTGTGGCCCCAGCCCGTCCTCTCTCCCCCCAAAAAAATCATGAGAATATGACTTTATATTCCTGGGAATTCTGTAGCGGAAAAAAATAGATTTTGTGTAAATGACATTGAAATAACTTAAAAAGTTAAATCAAAGATTCGATTAAGATGCGTAAAAGTTTAATGAGGTTTAACCATTAAGTCACCATTAAGCTCGGCTTAAAGGTGGCTTAATGGTAGCTTAATGAAGTTTGGACATTAAGCACCTGTAAGTTGCAGCTTAATGATGGCTTAATGGTGGCTTAATGGAGATAACTTCTTTAAGCACCATTAAGTCACCATTAAGCTACCATTAAGCGATTGCTTAAAGGTGGTCTTTCGTCTTGTGGGAGTTTTACTTTATTTGAATCATATTACTCTATTTTCATGATAGGTTATCTGGGCTGTTTCCTGTATGAGCATGGAATAACTTTAAGGAATGGAAAATATAGCAGGAGTTATCCTAGTGTGGAAAAGTGCAAGACGTTTTGCGGAAAACAAAATGCTCATTTCTACGGATTAGCGGTAATTTGTTACTCATCAAACAAAAAAATCAATTTTTTTTTTTTTATCTTCATATGTTTAAATTGAATTTTTTCCCCGTTATTCTGTCTAAAGTTTTATTTTTGAAATCGATAAGACGTATCTCAAATTCATTATATTTAAGAAATGTAGAGTAATTTATTGATTGAACATTTCTAGTTGAGATCTGTTTGTAGCATGGAAATCAGTGTTTATGTGGTGATCGAGGAAGAACGGTTCGAAAGGGAGAGATAGAATGTAGTCATCTGTGCTCTGGAAATGGAAATGAGTTTTGCGGAGGACATTGGAGGATAAGTCTGTATATAAATCGAAACTACGACAAAGGTAAAGTGCCGGATCAATTTTCTAAAAAGCTCACTGGAAACTGAATATCTTTGAAACATGTTATTGATAAGAACAGTGCTCATAATTATTTTATGATATTAATTTGAACCTTTGAAATAGAATAAATTAGCAGGCCTTACAATTAATATAAGGCTTGACCCTTTTTCTGGCATTCATGATCAAATCTACGATTTAAGAATTCCTATCTTTTATATTTATTATTCTAATTTTCACAGGGTATGTAGGATGCTTCCAAGATCAGTCAAGTAAGACATTGAACGGGAAACATAATACATCAGATTCTATGACTGTGGAAAATTGTAAGGAATTCTGTCAACATCAGGATACTCAGTTCTACGGTTTGAAGGTTATTATTCGTATGTTCATGATGCATTGCTTTATGAAAAAAATCTTTCGCTGAATATTGTTTTTGCATTGTTTAAAAAAGTGAAGATCAACTTTACTGTATCCTCAACTTTCGTTGCCAAAATATCACCAGCATAAAACATTTTGAGAGCTTTTCATTCCAAATATATTTCGTTTATGACCTTCGTTCGTCTGAAAGATCCTGAATAGAGCTTACCTGTTGGGATTTTTTTTTTTGGTAATTTTGTTCTCTGTTGGCTTTGCTTGTGCTCGTTAATGAAGCATCATTCTGAATATTACATATAGTTTACTGTGTTTAAATATAATTCATAATCTTGACTATATGTAATAGACTAGAATGAAAGCTTTTCAAAAATCACGTAAATCGAAAGCGGAGTCTGACCTCTAAAATTTAATGCTAATTGACAAATGGCTTTTTTGTAGTCTTCCAGTAAATGCTTCTGTGTGAATTCTCTTTCACAAAGTGTCAAAACAGCAGACAAAGAATGCAGTTCCAAATGCAGCGGAAATGGGGTGCAAATTTGTGGTGGTGATCGAAGAATAAGTGTTTATAAGAATGTCAACTACCAAAAAGGTAAAAGAACATGCTGGAAGAAAGAAATTACACTGACTAGAGATTATATTGTAATGAATTGTGAATGCACATTGAGGCCAATTTTGATTTTTGGTGCTTAATGTCTGGGTCTCAAGCAACCATTTCAGCAAGAGAAGAAGGGAAAGGAAAAGCAGATCACATTGAGTTCTTTTTATAAACATGATGAATATAATGATGGATACAGTAAATCTTGGTTATAACAAAGCCCTGGGGACGTGTGAAATTAATTTGCTGTATCTGTAATTGTTACACCCATATAATGAATTCGTGTAAATATATCTTAGACTATGGAATTCGTAACATACACGTTTTTGTTCAAGAATTACTACCAAATATAATAGGAAAACAATTTTTACAAAACATCTTTCAGAAAATGAAGGCTTTGTTATGAAGTAAATTTTATACACAAAAACGTACTTAAAATAAAGTCAATGCTCTGCTTTATTCTGTATTGCTTTATGGACTTTTGAACTTGAATACTGTCTGTTATGCCACGCCATGAATATGGTCGGGGCATATAGGGTTTGTCATATCCGTCTTCCGTCCTTCCGTCTTTTCGTCCTTCCGTCACACTTTGCTTTAGCTCAGTTCGAAGCTAGTTTCAAAAACTATCCAAGATATTTTCATCAAACTTCATAGGCTGATAGATATTGATAAGAGCTATGCAACTGCATCAACATTTTTTGACCTTGACCTTTACTTTGATCTTGACCTCACTTTTTTAAAATGGTCAGTTTTAAAGTACCATTCAAGATAGTGTTATTAAACTTCATAAGCTAATACATATTGTTGAGAGCTTTTCAACTGCATCATTTTTTATACCCTGGCTTTTCTTTCGCCCTTGTTCTCATTTTTCTTAAATGAGTGTTTAGCTCAGTTTTAAAGATATCATCCAATATATTTATGCCCCCCTTCGAAGAAGGGAGGGCATATTGCTTTGCTGCTGTCTGTTTGTCGAGCTGATGGTATGTCGGTCTGTCGGTCCACATAGTTTTCATTCATTTTCTTCGCAGATGTTGCACATACTGAAATAAAATTTAGTACAGATTTTTTTTTTTAGATGAATATCTAGGTCAAGTTCTTTTTTGGGTACGATCGCGTCGTTTTTGCCAGAGTTCTGCCCCTCTGACTTAGAAAATTTCCAATTATTTGCAGTTTCCATTCATTTTCTTTGCAGAGGTTGCACATACTGAAATAAGATATAGTATATAGATCTATCTGATGAATATCTACGTCTAGTTCTGTTTTGGGTACGATCGCGCCATTATTGACAGAGTTATGTCCTCTTGGACTTAAAAAAGTTTAATTTGGGGGGAAGGGGCATAAGTGTTTTACAAACATCTCTTGTTACTCCATATACTAGTACAGTAGTTCATTCAATATATACATTTTTTTAATTTAAAAAAAATGAATACAAATGTATCAATTTAATATTTTTAAATTCTACGGGAAACATAAGCTGTTCGCTATTTCTGAAAATCTCATATCAGAGTTCATTATAACTGTAAAATTTTACAACGAATTGTTAAGAATAAAGTGAGTTTTTGAGGTCCGTGTTTGCTCTTCTCCAGTTCTTTATTGCAATATGGACTTTTGAGCTCCAGAATACTGTTCGTTATTTCCATATCGTTCATTCAACATATCAAAGTTTTCAAATCTTGAAAAACTCGATACAGTAGGTATCAACTTCATTTTCTTAAACTCTGTGGAATACAAAATCAGATGGCTGTATCCTCAAATCTCTAATATTAGAGTTTGTGATAACCGTAACAAATTTACAAAGAATTGTTAAGAATTTTAGCGGGAAGCCCGAAAACCTTTAATGTTCACTTATTTGTACTAAAGGATACAAGATGAAACACACCCTTTAAGCTTGGTTTAATGGTGGGTTATAGGTCCTTAATGGTGATTTAATGGTTGTCTTTAAGTCACCATTAAGTTACCATTAAGCACCTTTAAGTAACATTTACACCACCATTAGTTACTATTAAGCCATCTCAAAGTCCGTAATGAGTGCTTAAATGTAGCTTAATGGTAGCTTAATGGTGGCTTACAGGTCCTTAATGGTAGCTTTTAGACCACCATTAAGTCACCATTAAGCTACCATTAAGCTAGACTTACAGGTGCTTAATGTCCAAACTCCATTAAGCTACCATTAAGCCCATTAAGCCACCATGAATCCACCATTAAGCCACCATTACGCAGTCGATATTACTGCTTTTATGGATGAAAAATTATTATTATAGTGATTTGTCATCACAAATTATTAATGTCGAGTTCACACATATCTTCATTTTATAGAAATAAGGGAAAAAAACGAAATTTAAAATATATATATAAAAAAAACACCACACACGAGGCGCGAATTTATGAGCCTTCGTGTAAGTGGCAGTCACCTTAACCATTAGGCTAACGCCGCTCTTAACAGTCTGAGGAAAATATCAAACATTTATTTTGCACAAAGTTGGTTTTGGACTTTAAAAAGTATTTATTTTGTTGACCGTTTCCAAAGTCTTCAATTGATTTATTAATCAAACTATAAACAGTTTTATTTATGGGTCTTTTTAAAAGGCTTATATCACATTAATATTTCTAAACCGTTGGGTTCGGCTTTTAAATTGTAATGAATTCTTCGCTCTGTTATTCGAAGATTTATACATGTAATTAAATCATAATTGTAATTAAATTAATTATAGATAAAACACAAAAAAAATCTATCATCGGGAAAGACAGATGAATTTTTTTTTTTAAATAATAAAATATTCTGCGGATATAACGGATTTTGTGTCTAAAATTTAGACCTAGTGACAATCCTCCTTTACGAGTTACCTGGTTATGTTTACAAAAACTTTTTTTGGAATATCATATTCATTTAAAATTCTTTTTGTATCATAATGGGTATCAAAATAATTGTCCTTTTACAAAGAATCATAATTTTCAATTTATTATATGTTTGCGTTAAATTTAAATTTTGTAAAAATAATTGATCATCAAAATCTGTTAGTGTACGTTGTGTATGTATAGTTTCCTGTTAGTTGACCGGGGACGGTGGACACCTAATTAAGGTCTATTGTCTAACCAGTCGGTATACTGTACACTGTTAATCTTACCCCGTTTCCCAATGTGTATAGATGTCATGTTTAATCTGATCGGCAAATCTTCTAAAAATTGATTCTGAAATAACAATCATTGAAGACCGACTCGATTTTGACAGATACTTACCGCTGCATTATATTCGAAAAAAAATAGTGAATTAATTCATTCAAATCATTCATGATGTAAAAGTCAAACTTTGAAAACTAAAAATTTTTATACCTGTGGCCCCAGCCCGTCCTCTCTCCCCGCATTTAATAATGAAAAAAATCATGAGAATATGACTTTATATTCCTGGGAATTCTGTAGCGGAAAAAAATAGATTTTGTGTAAATGACATTGAAATAACTTAAAAAGTTAAATCAAAGATTCGATTAAGATGCGTAAAAGTTTAATGAGGTTTAACCATTAAGTCACCATTAAGCTCGGCTTAAAGGTGGCTTAATGGTAGCTTAATGAAGTTTGGACATTAAGCACCTGTAAGTTGCAGCTTAATGATGGCTTAATGGTGGCTTAATGGAGATAACTTCTTTAAGCACCATTAAGTCACCATTAAGCTACCATTAAGCGATTGCTTAAAGGTGGTCTTTCGTCTTGTGGGAGTTTTACTTTATTTGAATCATATTACTCTATTTTCATGATAGGTTATCTAGGCTGTTTCCTGTATGAGCATGGAATAACTTTAAGGAATGGAAAATATAGCAGGAGTTATCCTAGTGTGGAAAAGTGCAAGACGTTTTGCGGAAAACAAAATGCTCATTTCTACGGATTAGCGGTAATTTGTTACTCATCAAACAAAAAAATCAATTTTTTTTTTTTTATCTTCATATGTTTAAATTGAATTTTTTCCCCGTTATTCTGTCTAAAGTTTTATTTTTGAAATCGATAAGACGTATCTCAAATTCATTATATTTAAGAAATGTAGAGTAATTTATTGATTGAACATTTCTAGTTGAGATCTGTTTGTAGCATGGAAATCAGTGTTTATGTGGTGATCGAGGAAGAACGGTTCGAAAGGGAGAGATAGAATGTAGTCATCTGTGCTCTGGAAATGGAAATGAGTTTTGCGGAGGACATTGGAGGATAAGTCTGTATATAAATCGAAACTACGACAAAGGTAAAGTGCCGGATCAATTTTCTAAAAAGCTCACTGGAAACTGAATATCTTTGAAACATGTTATTGATAAGAACAGTGCTCATAATTATTTTATGATATTAATTTGAACCTTTGAAATAGAATAAATTAGCAGGCCTTACAATTAATATAAGGCTTGACCCTTTTTCTGGCATTCATGATCAAATCTACGATTTAAGAATTCCTATCTTTTATATTTATTATTCTAATTTTCACAGGGTATGTAGGATGCTTCCAAGATCAGTCAAGTAAGACATTGAACGGGAAACATAATACATCAGATTCTATGACTGTGGAAAATTGTAAGGAATTCTGTCAACATCAGGATACTCAGTTCTACGGTTTGAAGGTTATTATTCGTATGTTCATGATGCATTGCTTTATGAAAAAAATCTTCCGCTGAATATTGTTTTTGCATTGTTTAAAAAAGTGAAGATCAACTTTACTGTATCCTCAACTTTAGTTGCCAAAATATCACCAGCATAAAACATTTTGAGAGCCTTTCATTCCAAATATATTTCGTTTATGACCTTCGATCTTCTGAAAGATTCTGAATAGAGCTTATTCCTGTTGGGATTTTTTTTTGGTAATTTTGTTCTCTGTTGGCTTTGCTTGTGCTCGTTAATGAAGCATCATTCTGAATATTACATATAGTTTACTGTGTTTAAATATAATTCATAATCTTGACTATATGTAATAGACTAGAATGAAAGCTTTTCAAAATTCACGTAAATCGAAAGCGGAGTCTAACCTCTAAAATTTAATGATAATTGACAAATGGCTTCTTTTGTAGTCTTCCAGTAAATGCTTCTGTGTGAATTCTCTTTCACAAAGTGTCAAAACAGCAGACAAAGAATGCAGTTCCAAATGCAGCGGAAATGAGGAGCAAATTTGTGGTGGTGATCGAAGAATAAGTGTTTATAAGAATGTCAACTACCAAAAAGGTAAAAGAACATGCTGGAAGAAAGAAATTACACTGACTAGAGATTATATTGTAATGAATTGTGAATGCACATTGAGGCCAATTTTGATTTTTGGTGCTTAATGTCTAGGTTTCAAGCAACTATTTAAGCTAGAGAAGAAGAGAGGGGAAAATCAGATCACATTGAGTTCTTTTTATAAACATGATGAATATAATGATGGATACAGTAAATCTTGTTTATAACAAAGCCCTGGGGACGTGTGAAATTAATTTGCTGTATCTGTAATTGTTACACCCATATAATGAATTCGTGTAAATATATCTTAGACTATGGAATTCGTAACATACACGTTTTTGTTCAAGAATTACTACCAAATATAATAGGAAAACAATTTTTACAAAACATCTTTCAGAAAATAAAGGCTTTGTTATGAAGTAAATTTTATACACAAAAACGTACTTAAAATAAAGTCAATGCTCTGCTTTATTCTGTATTGCTTTGTGGACTTTTGAACTTGAATACTGTCTGTTATGCCACGCCATGAATATGGTCGGGGGCTATCGGCATATAGTGTTTGTCATATCCGTCTTCCGTCCTTCCGTCTTTTCGTCCTTCCGTCACACTTTGCTTTAGCTCAGTTCGAAGCTAGTTTCAAAAACTATCCAAGATATTTTCATCAAACTTCATAGGCTGATAGATATTGATAAGAGCTATGCAACTGCATCAACATTTTTTGATCTTGACCTTTACTTTGATATTGACCTCACTCTTTTAAAATGGTCAGTTTTAAAGTACCATTCAAGATAGTGTTATTAAACTTCATAAGCTGATACATATTGTTGAGAGCTTTTCAACTGCATCAACTTTTATACCCTGGCTTTTCTTTCGCCCTTGTTCTCATTTTTCTTAAATGAGTGTTTAGCTCAGTTTTAAAGATATCATCCAATATATTTATGCCCCCCTTCGAAGAAGGGAGGGCATATTGCTTTGCTGCTGTCTGTCTGTCGAGCTGATGGTATGTCGGTCTGTCGGTCCACATAGTTTTCATTCATTTTCTTCGCAGATGTTGCACATACTGAAATAAAATATAGTACAGATTTTTTTTTAGATGAATATCTAGGTCAAGTTCTTTTTTGGGTACGATCGCGCCGTTCTGCCCCTGTGACTTAGAAATTTTCCAATTATTTGCAGTTTCCATTCATTTTCTTTGCAGAGGTTGCAAATACTGAAATAAGATATAGTATATAGATGTATCTGATGAATATCTACGTCTAGTTCTGTTTTGGGTACGATCGCGCCATTATTGACAGAATTATGTCCTCTTGGACTTAAAAAAGTCTAATTTGGGGGGAAGGGGCATAAGTGTTCACAATATGAAACACACCCTTTAAGTCCGGTCTAATGGTGGCTTATAGGTCCTTAATGGTGGTTTAATGTCTTTAAGTCACCATTAAGTCACCATTAAGCACCTTTAAGTAACATTTACACCACCATTAAGTTACCATTAAGCCAACTCAAAGTCCTTAATGGATGCTTGAATGTAGCTTAATGGTAGCTTAATGGTGGCTTACAGATCCTTAATGGTAACTTTTAGACCACCATTAAGTCACCATTAAGCTACCATTAAGCTAGACTTACAGATGCTTAATGTCCAAACTCCTTTAAGCTACCATTAAGCTACCATTACGCCACCATTAAGTCACATTACGCAGTCGATAATATACAATTAATTACCCCATGTGAGGTCAACATGGTGAAATAAGGACCCGAGACCTGGCCCACGAGGTGACCTGACCTGACCGAGGCCGCGTAGCGGCCGAGGTCAGGGCAGGTCATCGAGTGGGCCAGGTCGAGGGTCCTTATTTCACCATGTTGAAATCACAAGGGGTAATTAATTGTTTTATTATACCGATATATTGAAAAGTATGAATCTCTAACCGTTATCAATTCTTTCTTTGATCGGGATCGGGATTCGCTACAGACCGGATAGCGAAGTTGTTTACATTGACGTCTGCAAGTCGTGTAAGTTTTTGAATCATGATTTACTGATTAAAACAATATTTAGTTCATAGCGACATACATTGTTATAACTAACGATTACTTTTCCTCTACTCAGTCAAAATCTAACACAGAATTCAACTCTTTTAAGAGCCGCCTCTACATTCCATTGAACTGAATTGTAACGATATATTGAAACGATATATTGTAACGATAATTTGACCGTATTCTGTATGGTAATGCAAAACAGACCATGCACAATTTTAAAAACATGTTTTTTTTTTCGAATAATTATTATCTTATGCATTAACTTCACTCAAAAACGAATTTTTGATTAAGCGGTCATTTTTAGCGGTCATTAAAAATAATGACCGGGTCATTATATCCCACGTGCAATGATTCCTAGGTCAGTATTGCTGTAAACAGTACCATTTGGAGTCATTGTTGTGTTTTAAAGTTTTCTTACCAGCCAATCAAATTCGAGCATTATCAATAGAGGTATAATAATATTGTTTATATGGGTGAAAAATTATTTTTATAGTGATTTGTTTTCAATATTATAAATGTAGAGTTCGCACATATCTTGATTTGGTAAAAATAATGAAAAAGAACGAAATTCAAAATTCAAAAATAAAAAAAAAACGCCACAGTCGGGCCGCGATCCAATGACCTTAGGGTTGCAAGGCAAACGTCTTATCCATTAGGCTATCGCCGCTCTTGATAATAGAAGGAAAATATTAAATATATAACCTTTATTTTTTTCAAAATTTGTTTGGACTTGTAAAGGTATTTACTAGTATTTTGTTGAACATTTCCAAAAGTCTTGAATTGATTTATTAATCAAAATATAAACAATTTTATTTGTGGATCTTTTTGAAAGGCTCATAACACATTAATATTTCTACACTGAGTTCGGCTTTTAGATTGATGTTATGTGATTGAGTTCTTCGCTCTGTTATTCGAAAATTTTCGAAATGTAAGCATTAAATCATGATTGAAAATAAATTAATTATAGATAAAACACAAAAATCTATCATCGAAAAAGAAAGAGGAAAAAACAGATTCTACTATTATTTTTAATATACTGCGGATATTAACGGTTTCTGTGTCAACAATTTAGTAACAATCCTCGCGTAAGAGTTACCTGGTTAATTACGTTTACAAAAACTTTTTTTAGAATATCATATTCAGTTTCAATTCTTTTCGTATCATAATGGGTATCAAAATAATTGACTTTTTACGATGAATCATAATTTTTAATTAGTGATATGCTTGCATTAAATTTAAATTTTGTAAAAATAATTGATCATTAAAATCTGTCAGTGTACGTACGTTGTGTATGTATAGTTTCCTGTTAGTTAACCGGGGACGGGGGACACCTAATTAAGGTCTATTGTCTGACCAGTCGGTTTACTGTACACTGATCATCTGTTAATCTTACCCCGTTTCTCAATGTGTTTCTGGTCGGATGTCATGTTTAGTCTGATCGGCCGTTCCTCTGAAAATCGATTTTGAAATAACAATCATTGAAGACCGACTAGATTTTGACAGATACTTATCGCTGCATTATTAAAAAAAATTAACGAATTAATTAGAATTATTCATGATGTAAAAGCCATTAAAAAGTTTTTCATGGTAAAAGTCAATCTTTGAAAACTAAACATTTGTATACCAGTAGCCCCCCCCCCCCCAACAAGGGACAGAGATTTTTTTTTCATGAGATTATATAGTTATATTCCTGTGAATTCTGTAGCAGAATGTTTCTTTTAACACATGAAATAAAAATACCATTTTGTTTTTAAAAAGTAATATATATTTTGTGTTCACGAACATAGATAATTTTAAGAACAAATTGATTTTTGGTATTGTAAATTTAAGATATTTCACAAGGACTTGTTCACGGTGTGTAATAATTATTTATTTTTAAAAATCATATACACTAAAAATAAAAACAACGCATTTAATAATGATTTATTTAAAAAAAAAATATACGGTTCTCATACAGGATGTCTTGTTTTATTATCACTGTAAATGATTTTTTTTTTAAATTAGACACCTCGAGCAAGCCCCTGTGGCTATTAGCTAACTTTGTTCCCAGTGATCAAGTTTATGCATGTTGACAAAAAACTCGTAGAAATTATGATCGAGACAAAATTATGAGTTGGAATAGATTTTGCGTAAATGATATTAAAATAACTAAAAGTTAGTTCAAAGATTCTATATAAGATGCGTAAAAGTTTAATGAGGGTTGACCATTAAGTCACCATTAAGCTCAGCTTAATGGTGGCTTAATGGTAGCTTAATGAAGTTTGGACATTAAGCACCTGTAAGTTGCAGCTTAATGGTGGCTTAATGGTGGCTTAAAGGAATTAACATCTTTAAGCCACCATTAAGTCACCATTAAGCTACCATTAAGCGATTGCTTAAAGGTGGTCTTTCGTCTTGTGGTTTTACAAACATCTCTTGTTACTCCATATACTAGTACAGTAGTTCATTCAATATATCCAATTTTTTAATTTAAAAAAAAATGAATACAAAAAATGTATCAATTTAATATTTTTAAATTCTACGGGAAACATAAGCTGTTCGCTATTTCTGAAAATCTCATATCAGAGTTCATTATAACTGTAAAATTTTACAACGAATTGTTAAGAATAAAGTGAGTTTTTGAGGTCCGTTTTTGCTCTTCTCCAGTTCTTTATTCCACTATGAACTTTTGAGCTCCAGAATACTGTTCGTTATTTCCATATCGTTCATTCAACATATCAAAGTTTTCCAAATCTTGAAAAACTCGATACAGTAGGTATCAATTTCATTTTCTTAAACTCTATTGAATACAAAATCAGATGGCTGTATCCTCAAATCTCTAATTAGAGTTCGTGATAACCGTAACAAATTTACAAAGAATTGTTAAGAATTTTAGCGGGAAGCCCGAAAACCTTTGATGTTCACTTATTTGTACTAAAGAAGTTTTACTTTATTTGAATCATATTACTCTATTTTCATGATAGGTTATCTAGGCTGTTTCCTGTATGAGCATGGAATAACTTTAAGGAATGGAAAATATAGCAGGAGTTATCCTAGTGTGGAAAAGTGCAAGACGTTTTGCGGAAAACAAAATGCTCATTTCTACGGATTAGCGGTAATTTGTTACTCATCAAACAAAAAAATCAAAATAGTTTTTTTTTATCTTCATATGTTTAAATTAAATTTTTTTCCCCGTTATTTTGTCTAAAGTTTTATTTTTGAAATCGATAAGACGTATCTCAGATTCACTATATTTAAGAAATGTAGAGTAATTTATTGATTGAAACATTTCTAGCTGAGATCTGTTTGTAGCATGGAAATCAGTGTTTATGTGGTGATCGAGGAAGAACGGTTCGAAAGGGAGAGATAGAATGTAGTCATCTGTGCTCTGGAAATGGAAATGAGTTTTGCGGAGGATATTGGAGGATAAGTCTGTATATAAATCGAAACTACGACAAAGGTAAAGTGCCGAATCAATTTTCTAAAAATCTCACTGGAAACTGAATATCTTTGAAACATGTTATTGATAAGAACAGTGCTCATAATTATTTTATGATATTAATTTGAACCTTTGAAATAGAATAAATTAGCAGGCCTTACAATTAATATAAGGCTTGACCCTTTTTTTGGCATTCATGATCAAATCTACGATTTAAGAATTCCTATCTTTTATATTTATTAATCTAATTTTCACAGGGTATGTAGGATGCTTCCAAGATCAGTCAAGTAAGACATTGAACGGGAAACATAATACATCAGATTCTATGACTGTGGAAAATTGTAAGGAATTCTGTCAACATCAGGATACTCAGTTCTACGGTTTGAAGGTTATTATTCGTATGTTCATGATGCATTGCTTTATGAAAAAAATCTTTCGCTGAATATTGTTTTTGCATTGTTTAAAAAAGTGAAGATCAACTTTACTGTATCCTCAACTTTAGCTGCCAAAATATCACCAGCATAAAACATTTTGAGAGCTTTTCATTCCAAATATATTTCGTTAATGACCTTCGATCTTCTGAAAGATTCTGAATAGAGCTTATTCCTGTTGGGAATTTTTTCTTTTTGGTAATTTTGTTCTCTGTTGGCTTTTGCTTGTGCTCGTTAATGAAGCATCATTCTGAATATTACATATAGTTTACTGTGTTTAAATATAATTCATAATCTTGAATATATGTAATTGACTAGAATGAAAGCTTTTCAAAAATCACGTAAATCGAAAGCGGAGTCTAACCTCTAAAATTTAATGATAATTGACAAATGGCTTCTTTTGTAGTCTTCCAGTAAATGCTTCTGTGTGAATTCTCTTTCACAAAGTGTCAAAACAGCAGACAAAGAATGCAGTTCCAAATGCAGCGGAAATGAGGAGCAAATTTGTGGTGGTGATCGAAGAATAAGTGTTTATAAGAATGTCAACTACCAAAAAGGTAAAAGAACATGCTGGAAGAAAGAAATTACACTGACTAGAGATTATAATGTAATGAATTGTGAATGCACATTGAGGCCAATTTTGATTTTTGGTGCTTAATGTCTAGGTTTCAAGCAACTATTTAAGCTAGAGAAGAAGAGAGGGGAAATCAGATCACATTGAGTTCTTTTTATAAACATGATGAATATAATGATGGATACAGTAAATCTTGGTTATAACAAAGCCCTGGGGATGTGTGAAATTAATTTGCTGTATCTGTAATTGTTACACCCATATAATGAATTCGTGTAAATATATCTTAGACTATGGAATTCGTAACATACACGTTTTTGTTCAAGAATTACTACCAAATATAATAGGAAAACAATTTTTACAAAACATCTTTCAGAAAATGAAGGCTTTGTTATGAATTAAATTTAATCACAAAAACGTACTTAAAATAAAGTCAATGCTCTGCTTTATTCTGTATTGCTGTATGGACTTTTGAACTTGAATACTGTCTGTTTTGCCATGAATATGGTCGGAGCATATAATGTTTGTCATATCTGTCTTCCGTCCTTCCGTCTTTTCGTCCTTCCGTCACACTTTGCGTTTAGCTCATTTCGAAGCTAGTTTCAAAAACTATCCAAGATATTTTCATCAAACTTCATAGGCTGATAGATATTGATAAGAGCTATGCAACTGCATCAACATTTTTTGACCTTGACCTTTACTTTGATCTTGACCTCACTTTTTTAAAATGGTCAGTTTTAAAGTATCATTCAAGATAGTGTTATTAAACTTCATAAGCTAATATATATTGTTGAGAGCTTTTCAACTGCATCAACTTTTATACCCTGGCTTTTCTTTCGCCCTTGTTCTCATTTTTCTTAAATGAATGTTTAGCTCAGTTTTAAACATATCGTCCAATATATTTATGCCCCCCTTCGAAGAAGGGAGGGCATGTTGCTTTGCTGCTGTCTGTCGGTCGGGCTGATGGTATGTTGGTCTGTCTGTCCACATAGTTTTCATTCATTTTCTTCGCAGATGTTGCACATACTGCAATAAAATTTAGTACAGATTCTTTTAGATGAATATCTAGGTCAAGTTCTTTTTTGGGTACGATCGCGCCGTTTTTGACAGAATTATGCCCTCTTGGACTTAAAAATTCTAATTTGGGGGGGGGGGGGGGGCATGTGTTTTACAAACATCTCTTGTTACTCCATATACTAGTACGGTAGTTCATTCAGTATATCCAATTTTTGAATCTAAAAAAAATGAATACAAAATGTATCAATTTAATATTTTTAAACTCTACGGGATACATAAGCTGTTCGCTATTTCTGAAAATCTCATATCAGAGTTCATTATAACTGTAAAATTTTACAACGAATTGTTAAGAATAAAGTGGGTTTTTGAGGTCCGTGTTTGCTCTTCTCCAGCTCTTTATTGCTCTATTGACTTTTGAGCTCCAGAATACTGTTCGTTATTTCCATATCGTTCATTCAACATATCAAAGTTTTCAAATCTTGAAAAACTCGATACAGTAGGTATCAATTTCATTTTCTGAAACTCTATGGAATACAAAATCAGATGGCTGTATCCTCAAATCTCTAATATTAGAGTTCGTGATAACTGTAACAAATTTACAAAGAATTGTAGCGGGAAGCCCGAAAACCTTTGATGTTCACTTATTTGTACTAAAGGAGTTTTACTTTATTTGAATCATAGTACTCTATTTTCATGATAGGTTATCTGGGCTGTTTCCTGTATCAGCCTGGAATAACTTTAAGGAATGGAAAATATAGCAGGAGTTATCCTAGTGTGGAAAAGTGCAAGACGTTTTGCGGAAAACAAAATGCTCAATTCTACGGATTAGCGGTAATTTGTTACTCATCAAACAAAAAAAATCAAAATAGTTTTTTTTTTATCTTCATATGTTTAAATTGAATTTTTTCCTCCGTTATTCTGTCTAAAGTTTTATTTTTGAAATCGATAAGATTCATTATATTTAAAGGTACTTGGACACAGATTTGAAGTTAATATTTTTTCTATAATATTACGACTTATATATTTTAATAGTATTTCACACAAAAATTAATTAAAAATCTTATTTCGTTTAAAAGATATTGAAATTTCAAATTTTTCGGCGGGTTTGATTGACATATCCCTGCACTCTCACAAATTTAATTTTATTCTTAATCCTTAGGAAAAGTGGCAATATCGTTTTGTATAAATGAAAAATATTAATACTATAATCCAGAAAATTCAGAGTAGACACGTTCGAAAGCAAAACAAACACACAATATATTGTCAGTCCGTGCAGTTGTGGTAAGCAGACTGTGACGATTGAACGCACCCGGTGAATTCTAAATATAAACAATAACAGAACTCGAGCACTGTTTACAAAAACTGTGTACATAACACGAGTGTGCTCGATTTGCTAAACTCTGTACGCATCTCTTAGTTCGGAATGACGATACTTGTGAAGGTGTTTTGCTTTCTAACATTTCTACTCTGAATAAAATTATTTTTCTTGATAAAAGTTTTAATATTTCTCATTAAAACACATCAAAATTGTCACTTTTCCTAAGGATTAATAATAAAGTTAAAATTTGTGAAAGTGCAAGAATGTGTCAAACAAACCCGCCAAAAAATTTAAAGTTTTAATAACTTTTAAATGAAATAAGATTTTTAATTAATTTTTGTGTGAAATGCTATTAAAATATATAATTCGTGATATTATACAGAAAAAATGAGAAAATATTAACTTCAAATCTGTGTCCAAGTACCTTTAAGAAATGTAGAGTAATTTATTGATTGAAACATTTCTAGTTGAGATCTGTTTGTAGCATGGAAATCAGTGTTTATGTGGTGATCGAGGAAGAACGGTTCGAAAGGGAGAGATAGAATGTAGTCATCTGTGCTCTGGAAATGGAAATGAGTTTTGCGGAGGACATTGGAGGATAAGTCTGTATATAAATCGAAACTACGATAACGGTATGATGATTCAGTCTTTGGTATTTTACCTGTTAAACATTTTTAATTCATTGTAGCAAAATATATACATATTTTTTTCCTTGATTAATGCAACTAATGCGTGATTTGGACATAATCCTGTCTTGCAATGTAGGAATATGATATATAGAATAAAAAAAATTCTTGATCGATAATTAAATATTTTATAATGAAAAGTCACAAATAAAAATGTTTTTGTTTTTAGCATGCTTTCCCTATATTCCTGTTGATTTAAATGCAAAATGAGATAATGTATTTCTTAAGATTAGCAATTTAAAAGCTGAAAATATTCTTTAAAAGCTGAAAGTATTCTTCTTATTTTTTTAAAATGATCCTCATTTTTTTATTGTGCTGGTTTTTTTTTTACATTCTCATCAGGATATGTGGGTTGCTTTCAAAACAAACCAAGTAGAACACTGAATGGGAGATTAAATACGTCAAATTCTATGACTGTGGAAAACTGCAAAGAATTTTGTCAACAACACGATTCACGATTCTACGGTTTAGAGGTTCTCACTATTGCTTTTCATGATTTTACTAGATGCTTATTCCAAAACTCAAATTTATAAACAAACTCTTAATTATAACGGTAATGACTACAATTTGCATGGTCTATCATGAAATGGTCTTTTCTATCCAATAAAAAGATTACCGTAAATGAGGTTAAAGTGTTTATTTTAATTTGTGTGAGGATTATACATTGTATCATACCCAAAAACACTTTCACGTCTTCATAGCTTTTGCTAACTTTTATATTCTTTTAAATTGTGTAGCATTCCATACCTTACACGAAAAAAAAAACAGGCGTGTTTATTTCAACCAAATTATAGAAACTTCATTAGAACTTTTTAATAACTTTGTTTACTTCCAATTTGAATATTTAAAAAGTTATTTTTCTTTTAACGATATGTGATGTGAAAAAAACAATCAAATTTGTGCATGAAAATTATTAGGACCCGACTCTTTATACCTAACTAGACTGTTCGCTGTAACTCAGACAGTGAAGTGCTTGCCCCGTGATCGGTTGATCGTGAGTTCGAATCTTGGTCGCGACTGACCTAGTTGTAAGTCAAGTAAACAGAACAAAGGCATCGGCGATATAATTACAAGATCACCTTTACCACAATATCACACTGCTAAGGTGGACCCCTGAAGTATCCTTATAAAAACCACCGAAACACACTTTTCTATATTAGTTTGTATGTTAATTTATATTTCAAACAGCACTACAATTTTTAGGATTCGATCAAATGTTTTTGTGGAAATGTCTTAGCACTTAGCAACAAAATCATTGGAAAAGAATGCAACGTCAAGTGCAGTGGAAATGAGAACCAGTTCTGTGGTGGAAAAGGGGTGATAAGTGTGTATAAAAATCCCAATTTTGATAAAGGTACTTATTAAAACATTTCTTCTCAAAAAAATCTTAATGATACAGGAAACATCCTGTAAATTATTAGCCGATATGTCAGTCCAAAGTTTTGATTCAGAATTATTAAATCGATATACAGAAACTAAACTAGGGAAAGAAAATTTTTTCAGTATTGATGAAATAACTGAATTTGAAGTATTGAATATGTTGAATACACTGGATGTAAATAAGTCAGCCGGTATAGACTTTATCGGACCTCGTCTTCTAAAACTTTCGGCAAATGTCATATGCAAATCTATTACACATCTTATAAATGCTAGTATCACTAATGGAGTATTTCCATCCAGTTTAAAACAAGCAAAAGTCACTCCTATTTTCAAAAATGGCGACCACGCAGATCCAGGGAACTACAGACCGATATCAATTCTTCCAACATTATCGAAATTAGTTGAAAAACACATAGCAAATCAAATACGGAACTTTGCCTCTAACTTTGATCTTTTATTTAAATCACAATCTGGATTTCGAGAATTTCATTCATGTCAAACGGCTCTTACAAAACTTACAGATAATTGGCTACAAGCTATGGACCAAGGAAATCTAGTAGGCATAACTTTCATTGACTTTAGCAAGGCATTTGATTTGGTTAATCATGAAATTCTTATTAGTAAACTTCAATCATATCACTTTGATCAAATGGCTATTAAATGGTTTCATTCTTATTTAACCTCAAGGTCTCAGTGTGTAAAAATAGGAACATATTCCTCTGATTTTTTGCTCGTCACAGCAGGAGTGCCCCAAGGATCTATCTTAGGTCCCCTTTTATTTTTATTGTATATAAATGATCTCCCTTTACATGTAAATAGAACAGATATTGATATGTTTGCCGATGATGCAACCTTGCATACATATCATAAAAATATAAAAGGTATTGAGAATGCCCTTAACTTTGATTTGTGCGAGATTGAAAATTGGTGTTCCAAAAATCAAATGGCGTTAAATACCAATAAGACAAAATGTATGCTTATGGGAACTCAGCAGAGAAAATCAAGAATAGATTCACCTGAACTAAATTTATATGCTTCAAACAAATTAATTGAAAATGTTGAATCTGAAAAACTTCTGGGAGTGCATATTGATGGTTCATTGCGCTATAATCACCATATTGACTCAGTTTGTAAATCTTTGACATATAAATTATATACCTCACGCAAAATTAAAAAATTCCTTCCCTTACACACAAGAAAACTATTCTATAATGCATACATTCTGCCCTCTTTGAATTATTGCCTAACTATTTGGGGTAATGAACCAGGTGCTGGCATAGATAGAGTTTTTAAATATGCTCTACGATCTGAAACAAACTATGACCTTCATCTACCGAAATATCGCACAAATCAATTTAAAAATTCTTTTCATTATTCCGGTGTTCATTTATGGAACAAATTACCTTTGTACATACGATTTTCACAGAATTTACACACATTTCGTAAAAATGTAGAAAAATTCATAATAACGTGCAGCAACTAAAATCTCCTGAAATCTATATGTGCTTGTATTTTTACGTCATGTTGTATTATTTATTATTGTACAATGATTTTATTATTGTATTATTGTGACATGCTTAGAGGACCCCGAGGAAGACTAGTGCATTGCACTAATCGGGTTACCCTCTTAAAATAAACTATTATTATTATTATTATTATTATTAATGATTTTAAAAGTTACTTCATAGATAGAATTAGTACCAAAGATTCTAGGATAGAATTTTAGACAAATTATCGATATGTAATTGTAAGAAAAGATTGTAAATCAAAGTACCACTTAAGTTATCTTAAATGAGGGTCTGTTTCTTTTATTTCTTTTCCCAACACGGGTGTTTTCATTATTTTGGATATAAGTATGAGTTTCTCTGCTAGTCTAAGTGTCATCCGACATGAATTAACCCTCTATAACTTTAGCAAAATTAAAATGAAAATTGTTTTAATGGAAATTTAAACGTATTACACGAGTTGTTGGAAGAACATGCTAAATTCAGAGGAAAGCAGGTCGTCTGTTGCTTTGAAAAGGATAATTTTATGTATCTCATTGTAATGATTTTGAATCAATCAATCTGATTTCAGATCTTTAAGCTTTTTTATTTGTAAAAATAATGTTTTAAGACTTTTTTTTGCATTTTTAAAGATCTATCTTTTTATTAAGACAGGGCATTGGCTATGAATGAGATTTGACAAAATACCTAATGAATGCAATGTTGACCTCAAAAAATGAATTAAAACAAATGAAATAAAATCCATCAAATCAAACCTCGCCTTAAATGGTTTGCCACTTAAAGTCAAACATGACAGTTCTCACAACCTTAAAACACTGCTTAACAGAGTTCAATTCATAGATTCATCAGTTTTTTAGATAAGCGCAAAACAACTCATTTTATATTTATTGGAAAAAAAATACCAACATTTTATCTTTATTTATATATTGATATGCTGAATTGACGGCGGATTTTCCCGTTATTACTTAGTACTTGATCGTTACAAGAAGCACACGGCGGATGTAACAGATTAGGAGGGGGTGCTCACTCCTCCATGAGACCTGATCCCACCTCTTATGTTTTGAAGTCCGTGTTTGCTCAGAGCCTATTTTATGCTGTATAAATGGACTTGCTCCTAAATACTGTTCGTTATCTCCGTATGTTTCTAAAGAAACGCGTTTACAGCATGAGAAAGAAAATGTGTTTCGATCTATTTATCATAGTCAGGCGGCATACCTAAATTTTTTGAGACAATTGTGCATTTTGTGATAAAAGCATAGAATTTTGTATGCAAGTAGAGTAGTTCATTACAAACATATTTGGATATTGGGCCACTTCAATCGGTACCTACTATGACCTTGACGGCCGATTTTCAAAATGGCTGACAAACGCAAGCATTAACAAGAACATTTTCCTTAACACGTTTAAAATAAAAACAGCTTTGCAATATATATTTATAAATACATGCACATGCTCTATGATTCAGAAAAAAATGTTTCTTCATCTCATCGGGGTTAAGTATGTGCCAGATGATGCTATCTATAGTAATAATTTTTCTAAATTGACAATATTAAAAATCTATGATTAAATTATTCTTTAAAACAGACATTTACGACCTATCTTTAACTAAATATGCCGTGATAGAGACAAAATACCAACTCTTAAAAATGACTACCTTATTGTTTAACTTTCAGAGTTAACTTGTAACTGTTGATACTATTTAGTATTTACAGTAACTTAAAGTATAGTTCAAATTGTAACTGTTGTTACTATTTGTAGTAAAATTTAACATCATTCGCAATACTTATTATGCGCCCCGCTTGAAAAGTGAAAGATTATATTGTAATCGGTTTGTCTGTCCGTTCGTCTGTACGTGCGTCTGTCTGTAAAGCTTTGGGATACCCATCTCTTATCTGGAACTCCTCTTTTACCCCTAAGTGAAATTTAATGAAACTTGAAATCACAGAATCTTTATTACATATTGCCATTGTGCACCTCTTGTTTTACTTTTTGATCTGACACACATTTTCGGTTTCCCCGCCACAGCATAACATGAACTTTTCCATTATAATCATTTGGGAGGCGGGGGTATCATTTAGTGATGTCATTGCTCACAGTACCTCTACTTCAGTCAGAAGACGGCCATGCAAATTGAATGAAAAGAAACATAAAACACTATCATCGCAAAATTAATTGTGTTAAACATGTAATGCTTAAAAAATTATAGTTACTAGTATATTGAATACTGGTATATAATTGTTATGGAACTTGAGTTGTTTGTATTGACATTTGCCAATCTCTTTGACTTCCAATTTATCTGGAAGTTCTTACAGAGCTTGTAACGTTGTTCCATGCCTTAGATCACACAAATTATGCAAGATGGATTCCTGTTCATCTCAGGGACATGGCGGAACTCCCTACAAAACACCCTGAAATAAATCAGGAATTTAATGATGGAAGTTTCACAGTGCAAAACACCAAACGTGTCTTCTCTGCTATTCTAATCGATCAAACACATGAACAAAACAACGCGTATATCAATACAGGAGCTTCAAGATGAACAATCTGACAAGAAAGGGTCAAAAGATACCCGTCATCATGATCAAAAACCTAGTATACAGGCTTCGTTTGCTAATGATGTTCACTCTCTTGTTTGTCTGATCAAAGACCTTGGCAATCCTTTCGATAAATTATGTAAAGATCTTCTAGTTCTAGATACAAAGGAACTTTCAGACCAATCTGCAGTAAGAGCTGTTATATGTGGAATGAGAGTTGGAATTGATAAATTTACACACTTTTGCAAAGAATGTCTCATTAACAGGTGAAGGCTAATCAATGATATCATTCATCGTAGTAGAGTAAGCTTGTTCAAAAATACAAGCAGTTCAAAATTCAGTGAAAAGAAAGAGGATGTAACCTTGCTCAAATGTGATGTGAATCTCATTTTTGTCAAAACAGACAAGATAACCTTAGAGAATTCTTTCGACATGAGAATCCACTATGACTGCCTTCACTTTCTGATGCATGTAACATCCATCTTGTCAATTACTGCTAAGACCTCAGAAAATTATGCTCATCAGAACTTCATTCCATATATTTTCTCAGTTTCTAAGAGCTTCCCGTGTAGACCTGGTATGGGAAAAAGATATAGACAATTCATTAAAAGGTAACGGTAGAGCAAAGCGAGGCAAGAGAAAACAAATACGTGTGACTGCCGAGTCAACAGTACCTAGAGATTGGCAAGATTTCCTCGAGTAGATAGAAACAAGACGGAACTTTACAGATTCCTCTCAAGATATCTCATTATGACTTTTGATGAAGGTATCAACCAAATAGTTATTACCGATGGTAGAAATGTTCTTTCAAAAATCTAAATACAAGATGTCCTTTCGATTTCTCCATGTAATCACGAGGAAGCAGATAGCCGAATGCTGTTACACACAGCACATGTATCTGGCCAAGGCCATAACAGAATACTGATCCGCACTGTTGACACTGATGTTGTGGTCCTGGCTGTCTCCGTGGTGCAAACTTTGAACCCAGAGATGGAACTTTGGATAGCCTTTAGAACTGGAAAAAATTTCCGTCATGTGGCAGCCCATATATTTGGACGTGGCCTTGGACACAGAAAAGCTTTTACACTTCCAATGTTTCATACGCTGACTGGATGTGACACTGTTTCCAGTATTGGTGGGCATGGCAAAAAAAAAAAACTGCACAGAAAACTTGGAAGGCCCTAACTTAGCTCACTGACGCACATGTTAAATTAGTTTGTCCACCAACTAATATACCAAGCGGTATAATGCAAACCATTGAAGATTTGTCATCCTTCTCTATGACAGGACCAGTACATGCTTTGACATAAACCAAGCTCGGCAAAAGATTTTCGCAAGGAAACCTGATGTGAAACGAATTCCGCCAACAAAGGCTGCGCTAGAGCATGTAAAACGAGCAACTTTCCAGGGAGGACATGTATGGGGACAGGTACTGCAACTAAATCCATTATTGCCCTCCCCTATCGAGTCGGGTTTTATTATGACAGATGGTCTGTATGAGCCTCAATGGACAACACTGCGGGAAGCCTCGAAAGTCTGTTATGAACTAATAAGATGCAACTGTGACTTGAAAAATAAAGGATGTAATTCAAAAAAGTGTTGTTGCAAACTTTCAGATCTCAAGTGCACTAACATATGTGGATGTGAAGGAGCTTAGTGATTACTGAAAGTCAGGACAAACAACATCTTTGTCAAAGCTTTTATTGTGGTCACCAGGACCTAATATATGTCTTACATATATAAACATGTTGTCTTTTAACTCTTTCATTACTTATTAGTACATGCATTTAAAATTAACCATAGGGTAAGTCACGTGTCACGCACTGGTTAGATCGAGTGTTTTAAAGTCTAAAACTGTGAATGAAGGAATTAATAACAATGCTAGTTCCAACCGAGTGCACGATGAGACAAAATAGATATCAGTTTTGTGTCGAAGAAGGCGCTGTTGTGAAAAAAGATCCCACACTTATGAATAGATTGTACAGAGTATAGGTATAATTTTGCACACACACCCCTCACACCACATGCCCAGCAGCACCTGATGACATCATAGTACGAATGAAAAAATTCTCAAAGGGACATAATGCTCACAAATAAGCATATTTAAATCATAGAGAGTATGCACATCAAAAGGAGATAGTATATGTACTTTTAATGTTAAATAATGAGGAAAAAGTGGATTTGTTTGTATTAAAGAAATGTTATTATAATATAACCATTTTATTTCATTGAAAACTTTTTCTTTTGAAGACAAAAAGAGTGTTTTTGTTTTTCTGTATACCATGATTATAACTTATATTGAGAGAGATTTAAGTAAATTTCAAATATAACGAAAAATCATGGCGGCCGTTTTGTAAAATGGCCGTCATGTCCGCCATGACATGATTCCGCGATGGCCCAATATTCAGATTTGTTTAGACAATAAATGTCTATATTTGTACAAAAATTGGTGCTTTTATCACAAAATGCACAATAGGTTGCCTATGCCGCCTGACTATCAACTTTCTTCTTTAACAACATGTAATTGTCTCAGAAAATATTTAAAGGATTAATAATTATATAACTAGTAACACAGCTTCAGGAGGATGTTTAACATAATATGGAGTAGGCTCCAGGAAAAAATATCATTGCTGAGCACTCTTTTTAGACACCAGCTTTTAGGCAGGGTTCGATAAAAGTTTCGTAGATAAAAGTGGAAAACTATCAAGTTTGAACCTAACTAGATGTTCAAAGTATATTATTTTTATGTGTTGTAGTATTTATTTATTGTTTGGGGGTTTTGTAGGATATATTGGCTGTTTTCAAGACCAGTCCATCCGAACATTGAATGGAAAGCATACGTCATCAAACATAATGACTGTGGAAATGTGTAAAGAATATTGTAATAAACAAGATGCTGAATTTTATGGTTTAGAGGTAAATTATCCTATGTTATAGACTAGTTAAATATACTCGATTTTTTTTGTATATAAAAGCATTTATTTCAATTTTTGTTAATTGATTATAAAATGTTTATGTCCTTATATCGTAACATTTTTTAAAGTCAGACAGCGAAAGAAAATTAAAAAGTGCAACACACCAAAAACCTCAGGAATACTGACAATAGTCTGTCTGATAAATTATTTTTAGATATTAATTTTATATTTCCATTTAAAAAGAAATAACGATTGTCTACATAGACAATAATCCAACTAGCCGAATTATCAGTTCCTGTAAATATTAAGACATGTAAGAGTTGAATTTGACAAAGTGTACGGGAAAATGACTGAGCTTTCAGAATAATGTTTTTCCTTTTACCAAAGGAAGTTTTTCAATTTATCATAAGATTTAACGTAGGTCGCGGGTTTACAGGGCTTTTAAAAGTGTTCGAAAACATACCATGAAAATTACTTATATGATTTCTCTACCTTTGATTTCCATTTTCTGAAAATTTTATAAAATTCGTGTGCACCGTTTCTGTGTAATTGAATTCAAAAGATGTCCTTGTTGTAGTTACATTTTCAACGGTATTCTATTGAATTGTATAGGGAAAACGTCGTTTTGGCTTGTTTTCAGGCAAGGTTTTGATTTAAAAAATATCAATAACTTTTAAATCGTGCAGACGAATTTGTTTATCCTTCGGTATTTAATAATAGAATTGATTTGAAATAAATCTATGTAAAAAAAATTAATATGTCTTCGGGTTAATTTTTTCGTAATTTAATTGTAGATAATCGCTTTTATATTGAAAAATGTAGCATTTTTAAGAACAACGTCATAAAATATCGCGACGTAACGCTTGACGTTTTGAATATCGATCCTGTATACAGAGCAAAAAAAAAAATATACGGTTTTTAAGAAAAAAAACATTCACGTATATCTTCTTTAAAATGACCAGTATCATAATAATTCATTAAAATATTTATTAGACATTTTCCCTTTCAGCTTATTACGTCTAATATAACAAGTGAAAATTCACGTAAAAGGCGTAAACCAACAATCAGTCCTTTAGTTTCTTTTTTATACTTTCTATGTGTGTTTATTTTTTACTGTTTCTTTCTTTTTTTTTTATTTATGCACGGATTCTCGCCAGAATTTGCAAAATAAAATTGACCTTGTATTCCCCTCTGGAAAAGGCAGACTACCCATTCCCGTTGAAATCGCAGATCTGTGATCTAAGTTTGTTTGAAAAGTCGTAGGTATGAAGATAATTTAGAAGTCAAGGACTACTAACACCCCCAACCCCGAAATATGTTTTTACGCTTTGTATATATTCTTTTTCTTTAGAAAATTCAGCAAGGCTATCAAATAAACAATAACTTCTTATGAATCAATTTCCGCCAAATATCCTCCCGAGTGTAAGTATTAATGCATTCAGTGTTTTTATTGAAAATGTTTTTGTTTAAGTTTACAAAGAGGCAGCGAATAACTAAAATAAATCTAAACTTGATTTTATTTTATGCTTATACGTATAAGAATAGAAAAAAGCGTACTTAAAAGGAATTTTTAGAGGGGTAAATGGGGCGATAATTTAAACATTAATTTTATTTGGCGCAGTCAACAGGCAGATTTTATTTTGCTCTTAGACTTTCAATGTATACATATAACATTAATTCTACAGAATGAACGTGGAAAGCAACGCAGCGAATAAAATATGTACATGCAACTAACAACAACGCGTGCCATTACTTACAGGCACTTGGAGTATCGACCCCCCCCCCCTTTCAGTTTTTCGGGGGGGGGGGTCCTATTTTGGATTTTTAATACGTATTGCATGTTATTAATATGTTACCCTTTTATCTCTTTATGCTGTTTTTAAATACATATTTTTCGTTTAATCTTCACTTGCAAGATCACTATCTAAAGCGTAGAGAATCATGGAATATGCAGACATCGATAAATGTTAAATACGCTCTTCTTCCTTTAAAGATTTTCATTTATATAATTCTTTATGTGCCCACGATTAGTAAATATTTCGATTAAATCAACATGCACATATAGGGTGGAGTTAAAATTTAAAAATTGGAAAAAGTTTAATCACCCCCGGCGTTAGAAAGTAAAAAATGGAAAGGAGGGAGGGGGTCATATCCTACGTACCTGTGGTTATTTACAAGAGGTCAATGCCGCTCAAAAAATGTTAATAATTTAGTTTATGTTTCATTAGTATTACCCCGGTAGTGCCTTAGCAGTTTTTAAATTTGTGATCAACCTGTATCTAGATTTGTCCGAGATTAGCACACCGTTTCATAATTGAGTTCGACTTTCCACTGGTGTGCATGAGCAGAGTTTTGACGCTGTTTACGGAGATAAATGAAACTAAGACATGCATGGCATATCTATGGTTGTGTGGATAGATTATCGTAGAAGACAATGGTGATAGTTTGTTAGTGCATTTCTACTGAAAGTGTACACTTAAATGAGTGCCTTTCTGAGGAGGGGGTATCGAGTGTAATTCGGAGTTAGATAACCTATATTATAATTATACACATTTAATACATGTATTTAATATTTATAAATCATACATGATACAAGGGTTAAAATTTATTTTCGAAACAAGTACATGTGCTCTCAGAATAGACCCCGATTGATAACACATAATGAAACGCTTTCTAACACTTTCAGTGATGGTCATTCGAATCGAAATGAGTCTTCATTATTTTTTATAACTTCAGCATGTTCTATGAATATTGTTACACTAAACTACAAATTTCAACAAAAGTTATA